CTCACACCCAGAGCATGTCCAACCTGGACTTGGCCACTGTCACGCAGCAGTGAGACACCACCACGTGCAGGGAGCTCACCTGGGAGATGTCAAACCACCCCAGGGTTTAGGTACAAACCTCACCGTGAAGCTCCCTCCTCACCTGTGGGGAAATACCCTTGTGTTTTGGACACAGGCAGATGCCCATCGCTCACCCCTGGCCCGGGGGACATTGCTGCCACCTTGCACCATGATGTGGCTCTGGTCACGTTGCTGGCATGTCCTGTTTGCTCCCTGCCAGATGCCTCTGCTTAACAGGGTGACACTTGAGGCAGGAACGTTGCAGAGATCGAATCGGGAGCGAAAACATGGACTGAATACAGAAAAGCAAGATATTTTCCTCCAGGGCTGGAGCAGAGGGGACGGCTCCGGCTCCGCGTGCCAGGCTCCGGGGCTGCCTTGCTCTGCCCACCACATCCCAATGGAAAAGGAAAATTCAGGTTTCCATGGTAACGTTAGGGTGGCTGGAAGCATCACCTCGTGTCTGCCGGCAACTGGCCCCGGCATCAGCCCCGCTGCCTCCCCCGGGACCAAGCAGAGGAGGGCACATGGGTTGGGATGCTCCTGGGGTGAGGGAGGGATGTGACACCACAGTCCCCACAGCGAGGAAGGTCCCAGCCAGGCACCTGCCACCGCTGGAGTGGTTTCTGGGGGAGAAACCACCATTTCCCAACTGCCGGAGGAACGCAAGGCCAGGCATCACCACAACCCGACAGAGGAAACATCTGCAGCTCCTTCCCCATCTCCACCACCACGTACAGACACCTACCGGGAAATTTAAGCCACCAAATGTCCCAGGGAGAGCCCCGGGGCATGGAGACGGTTGCAGGACACAGCCTTGGTCCTCTCCTGCTTCTCACCCATAGTGGTATGAGTTAGGGGTAGGGATGCAGGCTCTGCAGCATCTTCACACCCGAGGAACCCCCTGAGCTCACACCACCACAGCCCAGCTCCGAGCAGGGCAGAGTCCTCCAGGACCTCCCCATGGACCCACGGCTCCACCAGCTCCATCCCACCTGGGCTCTCCTCTTCCTCCTCCTCCTCTTCCTCCCTTCAAAAGGAGCACAAAGAGAAAGGTGGTTCGACTCACACCTCGCTAATTGTTATTTGTGATACACCAGTAACATTTTAATTAATCTGAAGTCTTCGGCATAACAGCCACCCAAGGTACAAAGATAAACCAGAATAAACAGGGCTTGATTAAATACATAATTAATGTTCCACTAAACTTGGCATATATGAATATTAATTAGCAGGAACAGTCTGCAGTTTGGCATCTCCTGTCATTATCAATTTATTCTTTACATTGCCAGCCCCAGCTTTGGAACAAATTAACAAACCTTTCGGTTGCCGGCAGAGCCCACTAAATGCAAACCAAAGGCAAGGGCTTTACATTCAATTATCTCACCCGCACATTAACCACCTTCCAGCACGTTTGCCTCAAACCAAAGACAGACACATTGCCAAGACCAAAACATCCCTAAACGGGGCTCAAAGTCAATAAAACTGTTCTCTGCTGGCAATAAAATGCTCCTTCCCCACCAGTGGAGGAGGAAAATAGGGCCAGAGCTGGTCCTTGCGAGGGTTTTAACCATGGGAAGGAGGGAGTTTAGGTAGAGTTTGGGGTCAACCCCAGGTTTCAGAGGAGCAAGACCCACCAGAGACACTTGGCCAGACCAGGGGACAGGAGCAGTCCCCTCCTCCTGCATCCTCCTCCCTGCATCCTCCCGAGCATCGCATCCTCCCCGAGCCACGTGAAGTTTTCCGAAGCTTTATGAAGGCAAGGGGGGGGACAGAAAACCCTGGGGAACCACCTGGACAACCTCCGATGACGTGCTCCCCCTGGATGATGTGCTCCATCCTTTAATGACGAGCTCTATCCTCTGACAGGCTCCCCCACAAGCACGTTGGGATCGCAGGGAAGCGGATCCAGAGCCAGTGCTGCTGCTGAAGCGAGCCCCGAGCCATTCTGCAAGCCCAGGGGTCACCCGAGCTGGTAGCCCAGTAGCCAGGGGCCATCTGAGGGTGCCGAGCATCCCCAGCTTCCCAGCTCGGAACCCCCCCCTCACCTCCTCCCTCCCCCCCACAGACTCACCGAGGTGTCATTACGCCGCCGGAGCCTGTGCTAATTATAGTTGTCAGCCTTTCTGCCGGCGGGGACGCTAATTGAGGTAGAGCATTACAGTGTTTCCAAACCCTGCACCGCAGGCAGGGGCTGAGGGGAAGGAGAAGCCAAAGCTTCTTGGAGAAGCCAAAGCGAACCCCCGTCCTCCTGCTCCACCACAGGCTGGACCAGCATCTGCCTCCACATCCCTGAAGGGACCAGAGACCTCAGGAACGAGCACACGGGGCACGAGCTCCCATTTTAATCATCATCTGAATCATTTATCAGGGTGAAACGGGCGCCGGCATCCTGTCACCTGCAGGCAGGGTGACAAGGAGCACGATGGCAGACGCGGGCTGGAGTCCAACCTCTGGGACTTGAAACCTCTGGATGACGTTGGGCACATCCCCATTGCCAGGAGGACTTGGAGCAGGGCTCTGCCACCTGTGAGTGGCCCCACCAAGCAGAGCCAGCCACTGTCACCCACCCAGCGCCGCTGGAAAGGGACACGCCAGCTGGAAAAGAGCAGGAGGGGGACTTTGGGGACAGGGCTTGGCAGGGACAGACACCCCACTGCCACTCAGAGACCTTGCTGAGCTGAGCCATCCGCTGAGCCAACCGCTCACACACCTCCTCTGGATATTAAATATTAATATTGTGACCTTTAAGAGGCAAAAGGGAATTTCTGAGCCTCCGGAGCCATCCCAGGGGGGCTTTGAGCTCCTGCAGCGGCAGGGAAAGGTTACCCGGGCGCCTCGGTGGCAGCTGGGGCTGTGTCACCATTAACCTATTGCTGCAGGTGACACTTTGTTCACTCCTCTACAAAACCTCTTTTCTTTTTTTTCTTTTTTTCCCAGTGACAGAGACAGGAATCCCCAGCCTCGGCGGCCGCACACACCACCCGGCTCTTCACCCCCGCCCCCTGACACTTCATTTGAAGGATGAAATCCAATTACCCTTTGCTCGGCACAAACCCTTCCCTGGTTTGGTTTTTTTTTTTTTTTTTTTTACTGCATGTGGCTAATTCAAAGCTCCCTGTGTGCCTCGTCTGCCAGGCATCCGCCTCCCCCAGCAATACACGGGGCTCAACTAAGGCGTCTGAGTTACACTTTGATAATTAAAAACAAAAAAAAGGGATGCAAAGAGGAAAATCCATGGGAGCAGGAGCACCCAAGGGCATCGGGAGCCGATGTCTGGCTGGAATGAAGCAATTACTGCCCCAGCACTGGGGCTGGATGGGAGGGTGGCTCCCAAAGGCTCGAGGAGAAGAGTTGTGTGTTGGCTTTGATTTTCTCCTGCCCCTCAATCCCGGGGTGTCCTTGGAAGGGCAGAAACTCAGGTTCTGCCATTACCGACCCGTTACCGAGCCTTCTCACCCGGGAAGTCCCACCAGGGATGGAATTTAAGCCAGATGCTCTGGGAAAGGATAAAAGTCACTCTGGAAATGGAAAAGCACACGAGAGGCCACAAGGCAGCTCCCCCTCCCCGGCCCTGAGGGTTAACACGAGCCCTCTCAGGGCTGACAGTAGCCACCTCCTCGGCCAACAAGCCACATGTTTACAGCCCAGCTCGGAAACCACAGCTCACCCAAAGGTTCTCATCATTTTCCCCAAAGTTTATAATCCAAATTATGCAGAAAAACCTTTTCCTATTCTTCCTGCACCCCCCCATCCAGGCTACAACCTCAGACAGACAGAGACTGAGCAGAGAAGGGAGAGAAAGGAGAAGAGGAGGAGGAAGGGGAGAGGAAACCAAGGAACTGAGCGTTAGAATAGAAAAGGTTGCCTTATATTACTTTCAACATCACCAAGAATTGCAAAGCAGCTGAGTGTCCTCAGCTGTTACAAATCTCTCTCATCTTTTTTTTTTTTTTTTTTTTTTTTTTTAAATTTTTTCCCTTTTAAAAAAAAAACACCCCACCCCCCGGCAGGGGGCTCTGCAGTTTTCCCTCTACTGGCAAACTCCCTCCCTTGAATATGAAAACCCCAACCGTACGTGCTCCCGCAGAGCGGCAGCGCTTTAAAATGCATCTCTTGCTGGCACACAGAGCAGAAAAGAAAAGGAGAGAGACCAGAATTTGTTGTCTTTACAGTGTCATCTCCCTCAGCATCCTCCCAGCTTCACAATTTTCACCCACGCCAGGCTGGCAAGAGCCAGGGGGCTGCAGATGCTGAAGATGCAGCAACAAGCCTGAGCCCATGCTTTTTTTTTTTTTTTTTTTTTTAAAACAGCTTTTTCCCTATTAAAAAAAAAACAGCCCAGCCCCTGGCAGGACACAGCTCTTCCTGACTCCGGGCTCTGCAGTTTTCCCTCTACTGGCAAACTCCCTCCCTTGAATATGAAAACCCCAACCGTACGTGCTCCCGCAGAGCGGCAGCGCTTTAAAATGCATCTCTTGCTGGCACACAGAGCAGAAAAGAAAAGGAGAGAGACCAGAATTTGTTGTCTTTACAGTGTCATCTCCCTCAGCATCCTCCCAGCTTCACAATTTTCACCCACGCCAGGCTGGCAAGAGCCAGGGGGCTGCAGATGCTGAAGATGCAGCAACAAGCCTGAGCCCATGGGTTCCCCCCCCGAGCCCCCACCTTGCAGGGGGTTTTGCTGCCAAGACCTTCCAGGGCTGAGCCCCACGGAGGGAGGGAGATTTAAGGTGACAAATCTTGCCAAAAGGCAGCTGGGCACCCGCTGGGTGAGTGCCATCTGGCAAGAAAAGGGAGGGAGAGGAGGTGGGAGTCCTGGGTGATCTGCCCAGGATGGCACTGGGAAGGGGCTGCCCCTGAACTGGGATGGATGGAAGGATGGATGGATGGATGGAAGGATGGATGGAAGGAAGGAAGGATGGATGGACAGGACTCACCTGGGATGTTGTGGATGGTTATAGCCAGGATCATCAGCAGAATCCGCCTCCAGCTGCTGCTGCCAGCGCTCTGGGCAGAGTCTCTGGCCGTGGGGAACGCTGGGGGGGGGTCTGGCAGGGTGACCCCCGCACCCTTCCTCCTCTGATAGGGCTCCCCGTTCTCACCTTTGTCTGTGGGTACAAAAAACAGCTGGGTCAGGCCAGAGGGAGACAGATGGACAAGCTGGGCATCTCCTGCCTCCCCTCCCAGAAGGAAAGAGCAGAGAGAAGGAAAAACCACTGACCAAAACCCCCCCTTCGTTTCAGGTAAGAGAAGGGGGGTTCCCCCTCCACGCAGAGAGGGGAGACCCCCAACTCAGGGAGATCCTGAGGCAAAGCAGAACTTCATCCTCTGCCTCCTCCTCTTCCTCCGGGGACCCACTCCCAGCCCCACAGAGCACCACAGCATCACCCCAGGCTCACCCCACACACAGCCCCAGATCTGGCTGGGACGAGCCGTGGGGCCGGTGGCTGATGAGGATGAGGAGGACAGAGGATGGGCAGCAGCCACAGGGACCTACAACAAGATTGTCCCCCCCTCCACCAACCCCCAACCCAGCAGCTCTGCAGTTCTGGTGCTTTCACCGAGGAAGAAAAACCCTGCAATAAGGAAAACCCCACAAAATATTTCATTTTGATTTCACCCCGGTCACAAACCAAATGATTTGCCGCTGCCGCTTGCTAAGACATCACCAGAGAACCCCGGGTCCTCCCAGTCCTCTGCTCCCAGCAGGACCAGTACTACCAGCTCTATTTCCACCAGTTATTTAAAAACACACCACTGAAACCCAAGCCCCAGTTTGGGCTGGGAAGGGTGGAAGGGGCACCAGGCAGCACTGTAATAAATCCCCCACTGTCCACCTTCAGTGTGAAAAGAACGAAAACCAAGAGTCGAGGAGCACAAATTCCTCCTCAACAGCTCCAGCTTCGTGCTAAAGAAGGTTTGACATTTAGACGATATAATTCTCCCTCTGGATTTACAGAATTCTCTCTCCTCTCCCTTGACCTACCCACCCGAGGGCTGTTTGTTCCCCACAGACACAGAGCAAGGAGCCGTCTGGAAGCTTTTTGACCAAGGGCCAGAGGTCTTAGTCTGGAGAAGAGAAGGCTGAGGGGGGATCTGATCAACACCTATAAATACTTCAAGGGTGGGCCTCAGGAGGATGGGGCTGGTCTTTTTTCAGTGGTGCCCAGGGACAGGACAAGAGGAAATGGGCACAAACTTGACCATAAGAAGTTCCATCTAAACATGAGGAGGAACTTCTTTGCTGTGAGGGTGGCAGAGCCCTGGCAGAGGCTGCCCAGGGAGGTGGTGGAGTCTCCTTCTCTGGAGACATTCAAACCCCACCTGGACATGTTCCTGTGGGACCTGCTCTGGGTGGCCCTGCTCTGGCAGGGGGTTGGAGGAGATGATCTCCAGAGGTCTCTTCCAACCGCATAGTGTTCTGTGATTCTGTAACAGAGGTGGAAAGGCACCCTGCGACAGCCCTCAATGACACAGAAAATAAAAAACGAGAATTTAATACATTTTGGTACCAAAAAAACCCAGGGCAAAGACCAAAACCCAGCCGTCTCTCCAGCTCATTCCCTCCTGCCACCTCCCCTGCTCCAGGAGCATCCCCCGATGGCGTCACCGGGGCTGCAGACCGTGACCTGCCATTCTCATGGTTTTTTCCCCAAAAGGCCGCGGCCGCTCCACAAACAGAGCAAGACGCTGCACAAATAAATACTGTCCTCCTCGTTAGCCGTACGGAGCCAGACACTTTCTGTCCCCAAACCCCAGCCCAGCCAATAATGCGCAGTAACATTTGATGGCAGAGCTTTCTTCCAGCCAGCCAGGATGATAAAATAAATATATTTTTTTAAAGCAATAGCGAGGACAACCAGATCCAGCCGTGCCCCACAGCACGACAGACCCCTGGCAATGGGGCAACCGAGGCTGGAGCCACTTAGTGATGAAATTCCCTTCTCCTGCCAGAGCAGTGGATAACTTTAATTGCTTGGCACGCAGCCCCCCGGCCCCACAAACAGCTTTATCCTCAGCTGACCCTGTCCCAGCCACTGACACAGCCCCAGCACCGTGATGGGGACAGGTTCCCCCATGACAGGACGAGGGGGAACAGTTTTCCACTGTAAGAGGGGAGATTGAGAAGAGATGTGGGGAAGAACTTGTTTGCTGTGAGGGTGGTGAGAGCCTGGCCCAGGTTGGCCAGAGAAGCTGTGGCTGCCCCATCCCTGGAGGGGTTCAAGGGCAGGTTGGAGGGGGCGTGGAGCAACCTGGTCTGGGGGGAGGGGTCCCTGCCCAGGGCACGGGGTGGAATGAGAGACTCTTTCAGTGTCAAACCCTTCCCCCTCCTCCTATGGCTCCCCTCCCTGATCCAGAGTCCCTCCCCATCTCTCCTGGAGCCCCTTGAGGGACTGGAAGGGGCTCTAAGGTCTCCCTGGAGCCTTCTCTTCTCCAGGCTGAACCCCCCCAACCCCTCTCAGCCTCTCCTCACAGCAGAGGGGCTCCAGCCCCACCAGCATCATCAGATCCCCAAGAGCATCAGACACCAAAATCCACCCCCCAGCTCCACGGAGGAGCAGAGCAAGGGATGCAACAGCCAACGTTCATCTCTTCCCATCACCTAACTGGGGAAGTTTCACCTATTCCCATCCCATTGAGTGGTACCGGGGCGTTTGGGCAGCACTCCCCCCCCCCCCCATTATCAAATTTGCAGCAAAGATCCATTTCCTGGCTCTCACTAATGACAGGGAAAGCCCAGACCAGCTCCGGTGCTTAACACCAGCCTGCCCCCTGCCAAAGTATCCATTTGGTCCCTGTATCACTCGCGTTAAATACAATTTTTAAATTTTCCATAAAGCTTGAACTATTGAAAAAAAAAAAAATTGATGAAAATTAAGATTTTTTTACCAGCTGTAAAAGTGGAGAGCACCCCAGCCCCTGGCTCGTTCGCTCTGGCAGACAACAAAAAAAAGTCCTGATGAAGCATCAGGTGCCTGGTCCCATCCTTGCACCCACAGAGCACCCATAAGGACCACAAAGCCATGGGTCAGCTCATCCCCGCTGCCCCCTTTTTTTGCTAAAACAGCCTAAAACAGTCACAGGTGTCTGCAATATCCACCCTCACGTGCCCACGAGGACAGTGGTGACAAAGGACGGCGGGGATGCCACGGTGCCCGGCTCCTGCCAGCAGCAAAAGGGGAGGAAATCTGTGAAAAATAAACAGAATAGAGGCGGTTTTTCTAAGGGAAGCACCGAGGGTGGTTTGGACGGACGATTTGAACACAAAATTGCCTCTCACACAAATTCTCGGTGCATTAGCAGAGGAGAAAGGCAGCACCATCGAGAGCAGGGATCGTCCCTGTGGAGTCACATCCAACAAACCACAAACCCCACGTGGGTCAAGAGATGCGTTTTGCTTCCAATTGCTGTAGAGAAAGGAGGAGGGGAAAAAAAAAAATAAATAAAAGGGAAATAAAAAAGGATAATTACAGTGATGGAGTGATGATACCAGCTCACGGCGTCGGAAGGGGCTGCTGTCACACAAAACGCAGCTCCCGCGGGCTGAGGGGGAACAAAACAATAATTAGGGCTAAACATGGGCTTGGCTGGAAATCAGGAAAGCCTCAATGGCAAATTGGAGGAGCGATAAGAGCAGAATGAGGGGTGGTTTTTGAAAGAATAGCTGCCACAATCAGACAAGGGTACTCGCCAGAGCGCTGCCAAGACAATTATGTGGCAAATAATTATCTGCGCCACATACATGATTTTAAATCTTGTTCACAAAAAAGTCCTCTATATATTCTACTCTATTTATCATTATTGAATTTCTCAGTAAAGCTGCAGGGCAAAGCCTCTGCCAAAAGTTTAATTACATACGTGCAGCCTGCTGCATTTTTCATATCCTCTGCAGCCAGCACTGGAAAAAGATAAATGGCTTTGAGTATGGCTTAAACGGCTGGTGAAATATAAAAACCAACTGGCTCCTTATCAGCATGTGAAACGGCTTTTTATTTTTGATTATTTCTTAATGAAAACTGTTTGCATTAGCCGTGAGCTCAGCTTTATTGCACTTGCAAGCGGTGCACAAACAGACAATACGTTATTTATTCTCTGAGCTCACAAAAAAAGCCCCTCTTTACTGCAGCTCTTTCACTCCTGAATCCAAACCCAAGCCTGTGGAGCTCTCTCTGCCTTTCCACAGCTGCTTTACAGCCCTTCTCCCCTCTAATTAGGCCTGGCTTTAGCCCTGCCTCTCTCCTCCTCCTCCTCTTCCTCAAATGAAGTTCAATGTGCTCAACCAGGCTGCCGAGTCGGGGATGGGGCTACTTAATTCCTCCGTTGGCAAATACTCTGTGCGAGAAGCCTTCCTTAGGCAGCTTGAGACCTATTTTGGGCTGAATTCACTGCAAATCTCTCCTTCCAGCTCAACCCCACGACACCAGTTGGGGAGAGATGGGCTTGGGGAGCAGGGGGGAGCATCCCCGCATCTCCTTCTTCCCCCACGCTCCTGGGAATCTGAGCCTCCCTTGGTTGAAGATGCTGGAAGGAAAATCCTAAATGCTCCAAAACGCTCCTCTGGCTCATCCCCATCGAGTTCCCCATCAGATTCCTGCAAAAAGACCCTGCCTGGCCGAGGAGGGACCCGGAGCTGCCAGCAGCCCAGGAGGGATCTCCGGGCTCCCGCAGCAGCACCAGTCCCACGCCGGGGGCTCGGGGGTTAGTTCCTTCTGATTGAACTTGCAAAGGATGAATTTATTTAAAAAAATGCCTTTTTTATAAAAAATTTGCCAGCTCCCACCTCTGAAGTGGGGGAGAAGGGAAGGAGAGACGGCTCCGAGCACGGGGGCACAATAGACTTATTTAAATCTGTGATTAACTGCCGCTCGCCGGCGATTTGTAAAAATTGATTGGTGTTGATGTGGACGGGGAGAAGGCAAAGGAAGAAAGGCATCGAGCACTCTCATTTCAAAAGCCTCCACCCAGCCACATCTCTGGCTCTCCTCATCTGTTTCTACCATATCCACGACAGCAGAAACGTCCCCCCAAACTCAGGGAGCCAAATTCCTCTCGGCTCCTCCGAGCCCAAGCCACAAATCCCCCCATTACTGCCAGCACCTGCTGGTTT